AACCAAATTAGGCCACATAAGCTTGTGTGTAAGTTTCGTAAGACTTTTTACGTAGATGTAGCAAAGCTCGTTTATGTATCCAAAAAGCCCTCCAATGTATCAATAGTGTGTGCAATATGAGTACAAAGATACTTAGATGTGATGTCTACAAACACTAGAACGAGTCAAAGACACACCGTTGCCATCACCCCTCTCTTGGTAGCTTCGGACAAGGCAACAATTAAACCTTGTTGCAATATACAACCGGAAAGTCGTCATGCTAAGCCCTTAAAGGAGAGGGCACCCGAAGAACAATGGTCATCAACAAAGAGAAGTGTAGATCAGAAGGGCCATAGAAGCAAACATATTGACAAAATCAAGAGTTGGTTGTATTTAGACAGATCCACCAGCGACGAACGTCGAACAGAACCAAGCAAGTCCACCAAAAACAAGCATCCGACAAAATCGAAGGAGATTCACTGAAGATACACCTTCACACGCCATTCGCCGAAGTGGGAAGATGACAGAGTGAGCATTATGCTAACTCTAAAATGTCATCGCGGCCTCGCCCCCAACCAAGACACTTAATGAACTACCTAAGGTAATGATGGGATCCCTCCCGCCGGCAGGGAACGGGGTTCAACACACCTTCAAGGCCCAAGGGTTCAAGTATTTGATGGCGAGAGAGGAGAATTGTCAGTGAGACCTCCTCTTTAGCGACTCATGGGCGCTCACAACATTAGCATAGTGGGACGCGGCCCACTAACTTGGCTCACGTCACCCGCTCGATTCGCTTCGGCCGCAAGTTGGATTGCCCGCTTGACTCGCTTCGGCTGCTAACTGGATCGCTCGCTTGGCTGCATTCATAAGTTTTTCTAACCGTTGATCGGATTATGAAAAAAAAGTGGAATGCTGACCCTTTTTTTTGAGCATCAGTATAAACACAAGCGCTCATATACACGCGCATACACTCATCCCTATGAACGCACACACGCACACCCTACCCCTATGAGCACCTCCGAGAGACTGAGCCGGAATATTATAAATCCAGGAATAATGCGAGCACCAGGATTTGAACCCTGATGGGTTGGGGATACCCTATCCACCTAACCAACTCAACCACAGGTTCATTCGCTGTGAAACGCTGACCGTTGAATTGTTGACCTTTGGCACTTGACTTTAAAAAAATATGAATCCAAAAAATTTCACGAATTTCTATAAAATATTCACAAACTTGAAAAAGAAACTTCACATATATAAAAATTCATTATTTCCAAAAAAACATGAATTTGGAAAAAAACAAAAAAAATTGGAAAATGTTTATGAATTCGAAAACGGTTTGTAATTTTGAAAAAGATTTAGACGACGAACAGTTTGGGATAGGTTAGAGCTGAAATCCATAAGATCATGCAACACTAGTAGAAAACAGGGCTTTGGTTCGAGTGTGCCAAGCCCATTAGTCCCGGTTCAATCAAGAACCGGGACCCATGGGGGCATATGTCCCGGTTCGTGCGTCCAGGGGCCCGGCCGGGCCTCGGGAGGCATTTGTCCCGGTTTATGTGGACCCATTTATCCTGGTTCTAGGCACAAACCGGGACCAACGGGCGTCGCTCCTGGCCCACAACCATTGGTCCCGGTTCTTGCCTAGAACCGGGACAGAAGGGGGCCTTTAGTCCTGGTTCCAGTCACGAATCGGGACCAATGAGTTGCCTATATATACCCCCTCGCCGGCGAGCGGAGCAGTCCACACTGCTCTGTTTTTTTTGGCCGGCGAGGGGAGGGCATTTGGGTGCTCTAGCTCACCTCGTATGCACGTGAGGTGTTCGGTGAAATGCCTGAGCCACGCTAGTTAAGTTTTCTCCTCTCGAAGCTCGACCTCTGAGCTCTATTTTTCCCGAGTTTTGTCTAGGTTTAATTAGCGGTCCGTCACGCCTCGTCCCCATCTTCACTGCCGTCGATCGCACATGCCGATCTCATCGCCGGAACCACTGTGGTGAGCCTCTTGTTCTTATCTTCTTTCTGAAAGAAAAATAATTCTTACTTTAGATAGATACTTGTCTAATTTTCTTACTTTTGACACGCATAATTATATATAATGCACGCAAATGAACCGGCAATGGATGTACGGTGACAGACACACCTCCGAGTACAATAAGGGCCTGCATAATTTTCTCAAAGTGGCTGAGGCAAAAAAGCAGAATGGTTTTATGTGTTGTCCATGCCCTAATTGTGAGAATACAAGTCTTACTCTAACCGAAAAATCCTTCACACCCACCTGCTTTATAAGGGTTTCATGTCACACTATAATGTTTGGATGAGGCACGGAGAAATAAGGGTTATTATGGAAGACAACGAAGAAGAAGAGGACGATGACAACTATGTGCCCCCTGAATACGGTGATGCTGCAACGGGGGAAGCTGCTGAAGATCAAGAGGAACCAGACGATGTGCCCGATGATGATGATCTCCGCCGGGTCATTGTCGATGCAAGGACACAATGCGAAAGTCAAAAGGAAAAGCTGAAGTTCGATCGCATGTTAGAGGATCACAAAAAAGGGTTGTACCCCAATTGCGAAGATGGCAACACAAAGCTCAGTACCGTACTGGAATTGCTGTAGTGGAAGGCAGAGAATTTTGTGCCTGACGAAGGATTTGAGAAGCTACTGAAAATATTGAAGAAGAAGCTTTCAAACGATAACGACTTGCCCAACAGTACGTACACAACAAAGAAGGTCGTATGCCCTCTACGATTGGAGGTGCAGAAGATATATGCATGCCCTTATGACTGCATCCTCTATCGAGGTGCGTACGAGGATTTGAATGCATGCTCGGTATGCGGTGAATTACGGTATATCATCTCGAGATGACCCTAGTGATGTTGACGGTGAGGTCCCCAGGAAGAGGGTTTCTGCAAAGGTGATGTGGTATGCTCCTATAATACCACGATTGAAACGTCTGTTCAGAAACGAAGAGCATGCCAAGTTGATGCGATGGCACGGAGAGGGCTGTAAGAAAGGCTGTAAGTTCAGAGCACCCGCTGACGGTCGTAGTGGAGAAAAATCGAGAGAAAGTACTGGGCTGAGTTTGCAGCTGACCCAAGGAACGTATGGTTTGGTTTAAGCGCGGATGGCATTAATTCTTTCGAGGAGCAGAGAAGCAATCACAGCACCTGACCCGTGACTCTATGTATGTATAACCTTCCTCCTTGGATGTGCATGAAGCGAAAATTCGTTATGATGTCAGTTCTCATCCAAGGCCCTAAGCAACCCGGCAACGACATTGATGTGTACCTAAGGCCATTAGTTGAAGAACTTTTACAGCTGTGGAATGGAAACGGTGTACGTGTGTGGGATGAGCACAAACATCATGAATTTAACCTACACGCGTTGGTGTTTGTAACCATCTACGATTGACCCGCTCTCAGTAACCATTCAGGATAGACAAACAAGGGATACCACGCATGCACGCACTGTTTAGCTGACACTGAAAGTATATACCTGGACAAATGCATGAAGAATGTGTGCCTGGGCCATCGTTGATTTCTTCCAACCAATCATCAATGTCAGAAGAAAGGCAAGTATTTCAAAGGCGAGGCAGATCACCGAAAGAATCCCATCATGCGTAACGGTGATCACGTACTTGCTATGATCAATGATTTACACGTAATCTTTGGAAAGGGTCCCGGCGGACTAGCTGTTCCGAATGACGCTGAGGGACGCGCACCCATGTGGAAGAAGAAATCTATATTTTGGAACCTACCCTATTGGAAAGTCCTAGAGGTCCGTTCTTCAATCAACGTGATGCACGTGACGAAGAACCTTTGCGTGAACCTGCTAGGCTTCTTGGGCGTGTATGGGAAGACAAAAGATACACCTGAAACATGGGAGGACCTGCAACGTTTGCACGAAAAATACGGCATGCCTCCAAAGCAGTATGAACGTCCTGCCAGCTACACTCTTACCAAAGAAGAGAAGGAAATCTTCTTTGAATGCCTGCTCAGTATGAATGTCCCGACTGGCTTCTCGTCAAATATAAAGGGAATAATAAATATGCCAAAGAAAAAGTTCCAGAACCTAAAGTCTCATGACTGCCACGTGATTATGACGCAACTGCTTCCGGTTGCATTGAGGGGGCTTCTACCGGAAAACGTATGATTAGCCATTGTGAAGCTATGTGCATTCCTCAATGCAATCTCTCAGAAGGTGATCGATCCAGAAATCATACCAAGGCTAAGGAGTGATGTGGTGCAATGTCTTGTCAGTTTCGAGGTGGTGTTCCCATCATCCTTCTTCAATATCATGACGCACGTCCTAATTCATCTAGTCGACGAGATTGTCATTCTGGGGCCCGCATTTCTACACAATATGTTCCCCTTTGAGAGGTTCATGGGAGTCCTAAAGAAATATGCCCGTAACCGCGCTAGGCCAGAAGAAAGCATCTCCATGGGCCATCAAACATAGGAT